AAAATCTGGATTTAACTCCCACAATCATTGTCCTCTGAGAGGATGAGCAGGGCTGGCTTTAATCACAAAACGAGATCCTGTTCAGTGGATTAATTTAAAAAATGGGCTGCACTGTTTGCATTATGATCTTAATATTCCAAATGAGAGGTAGGAAAAAAGCAAATGTATGAATTTAGGCGGAGAGCAGTGCTTATCTGTCATGAGGTTCATCCTGCTGTTTTAGTAAATTTCAGGGTCTTTTTAAAATGGCCGATAATCCGCTAACATTTTTACAAAGAAATTAACTATATGGATACAATTTTACATCAGATAAAAAAAGATGAAAAAAATTGTTGGATTTAAATCCAACAGAATGCAATAAATTGGCAATTAACTATAATTATTGAACAATGTTTTTTAAATAAAAAATCCTAAATTTAAATGAGATATGGGTATCTCTTTAAAAACTAAATCAAGCCTCATTAACCATCTGTATCTTCTTTAACCAGATATGATTTCGATTTATTTCCCCATTCATTGATCCGTTAGACCTTATAGGGATTATCTTAAATCCACTTCATTTAAGCAGTTCTGCTGCAGAAAACAGTGCATGTGAACAGAATAAGAGGCAGATCCAAACATCAAGAGCTGACTTCACACCAGGGGTTAAGAGGGAGAAATGTCAACCCAAATCTCCACCTTTGTTTGACTGACGGCCTGTGGAGACACTGACCCCGGCTGTTTAGTTTAGCTGTTATTTCCGTGCGCCAGTGCACTTTATTGGTCGAATTATAGAGCTTCTTTCAATATTTAAGCAAACCTGAACAACAGTATCCCCTCTGACCCATGGTTTGAGCATCCCAAAATACAGCAAGACAATTTCATCCCAGCAGTGGAAAATCAATATGACCCGGTGTCCTGTTTACCTGCAGAATATCCGAGGAGAAATTGGGAGAAAATGACAGCAGACCTAGTCCTGACATGACTACACTGATATATTTACAGAGTGGGAAACCCAAAATTGGTTTCAAAAGTAAAAAATAAATGAAATGCATGAATAGTAACAACTACAGACAGCATGCCTGTGTTTTACCGGTAATAACACTCCTTTAAAGTCAGTTTTTCTGTCATTTAGAGCATCAACAATGAAACATAATGGATCTGTTTAAAATAACTACAAAGATCATCAATCAGTGGTGGACTGGCCGACTTCCATACCATGCTGCTTATTTTAGGCTGGGGTGGTCGGCAGATTTCCATTTCCAGCATTAGCAAACAGAATCCTTCCATGGTAACCTTTTAGCTAATTAGTATTTGGTTGGTCTTGGACTGGAAATTCTAATTGAAAGGAAAGTTTCTGTTTCTGCATTGACAGTTTGTGGTTTTAAAAAAAAGTCTACTCAGAAACTTTCAAAACACACATTAAATTATAGGCAGCCACAGCTTTTAACCTCAAATAATCTGATGATTCTGTGTAGTTAATCTATTTGTAATTTGTCATTTTGCACCTTTTTTGAGGAAATTATTACTTCTGTTTCTGAGCTGTGCGATGAAATTCTCCAGAGACATTTTGTTTAGTTTTTATTTTCCCCTTTTTTGTTAATTTCTTAGCTCATTGTTCCCTCCCAGGTTACATTAAATTACAGATTGTATGCCCTTTTTCTACAGTAATTAAGATGAATACAGCCGAAACCTGTGGCCTGCGTTCATTTCCATGTGATTAAATGAATAAAAGGTCTTTTTTTTCCATTTGTGGAAACGATAAACCCAAACTGAAAAGAATTATGCGGCAGAGCGACGGAGGTCTGATAATTTAACGAGAAAAGTCTTTGAAAAGGGCAGAAGGTTGTGGATAACGATCGAGCAGAGAGTGAATCCCCTGTCTGAGGTTTTCTGAGGATTACGATCTGACATGAGACAGAAAAAAACAGGCCGATCATGATGGTTTCGGGTAGAAAAATGACTTTTCATCCAGGCTGGCTGTGAGAATGAGGAACACAAGAGGGCTTAATTCAGCCGGCAGGACGGAGGGAGGTGGAATCCAGCATTTGTCTGGCTCGGGTCATATCTGATTAAACTGTATGAGTCCGGTATGAGGGGTAATTTTCATCAGGCAGCCAGATAAGCCGGAGCTGCTCAGACATGGCTTCTTTGTGATTCAGCAGGGCGGGATGGCAGGCGCGAGTCCTCCGATGCCGTTACAATCCCGGCTGATTAACAGAGAGGCTGATGCTCCTGCTCCTCTTTTTAAACCCTTTTCCCATTATGTCCCTCTCAGGTTATCGTTCGGGGCTTAAAAGGAGTCAGGAAGAGTTCTTTTTGGGCTACATATCTTTGAGTAAGAACATTTATTAGATTGAAATGAGTGCTCAGTATTCCTCCTTTGGCCTTCATGATGATGGAATCTCATCTCTCATGATGTAACACAAACAAAGAAATCAAAAAGGATATCATTTAATTTAACAGCAAAACATTCTGGCTTTATAAGACATATTTCAGAGGGGTGTAAATTTAATTTAACATAATCCCTGATTACATTTTATAATTTCAGATAAATCAAAGTTAAAGAATTCTGGTGATTTAAATGTTTCTTTAAAATCACTTTAGTGCTGTTTTTCATGATAGCTCTCATGTTTAGATATGTAGAAGACTGAAAAAAACCCATACATTACTGGGGTTGAAGATGGAGCCTCATCCTTGACCATTTTTTCTTGTTTCCACCATAAATTCAGAAAAATGAACTCAGCGTCACCAAACCTCCCTTTAAATTATGGAAATCAAAATGTCAGAGTCAAGCTGATCATTTCCTGTAGGAAGAACAGGACTTCAGCTGACACCAACTTGTGTAATGTACCTGTGTAATGTTACACCCCGTACTGGTCGTCAATCTATCACAGGGCCACGCAGAGACGAATAACCACACACACTCACATTCACTCCTATGGGCCATTTAGAGTGTCCGATTAACCTAACATGCATGTTTTTGGACAGTGGGAGGAAGCCGGAGGACCTGGAGAGAACAAACAAACTCCACACAGAAAGATCCGAGTTTTCCTGCAACTCAAGATCATGTTGTTTTGTTTTTGTAGAGGTTTATAATCTTCAGCAGATCCTTTAAAAAGTGTTTGATTGGCTGTGTGGGGTGTTTCCGTTATATGTTTGATCAGGGACTTTAAAGCCAGCCTGAAATTGTGAGCAAAGGCCGAGAAAGACAGCAAGAAATCAGCCAATCACAGCAGGATATTGACCATCACTTTTCTTTAGTCTCCCCAGACCGCTGGTTTTATGCCTGAATTTTACATTACCAGCATAAAGGCAAAAGCTTTAAGAGGACATGAACTTCACGTCTTCCTGGTTGATGATGACAAAAAAGCCCTCGGAAAGCCTTGGTGGCGTCCGCTGTGACTCACTGGATGTCATGATTGATTTAAGGGTCAGTAACTCCAATACATTTCCTCTGAGCCCATCTTAGGACGGCTGATTTGATCTTAATTGAGTCTGGTTCATCTTCCCAGGAAAAGGGAAGAAAGAGAGAAACGCAGACCTGAGACATCCAGAGGTATGAGTCAATAAAACAGATAGAAACATGCCTTTCCAGATAGTTTTACATGAGTTAAATGCCCCTGCTGTCTGTCCTAATAAAGAGAAGCATTCTTTTCCTTTATTTTTCCCTAACAGCAACATTTTTTCTCTTTTTAAGGAGGATGTGGATCTACAGCTGAACCCTGCAGGGTCCAACATGCTCCACTAAATACCTGAAATCACTGCTTTTTTTAAACCCTCTTTGACATTTTGGGTAAGAATAATTAATTTATCTGGACCACTGTCCTCATTTCAATATGTACAAGCACGGGAAATTAATCTATTCATAGAGTAACGTTTTCTGTAAGCCCCTCTAATTGTTAGTTTTGACAGTTTTACACTTAAACTAAAGCAGGGATCCAAAAAAAAACAAAAAAAACCTAATAGAATCCGTATGGAACCTTGAGTGTTTTTCTAAATGCGCAAACTTTACTGCTTTTACACCACTTTGTCCAAATCTTTCGAGTAACTTCAGGGTCACAGAAAAAGATTAGTCACACTCACAAAAATTAATCTCATGTTTATTTCCCCTCCAGTTGGGTTCAGGTGTGTCCATTTGGCCATTAAGTTCCACCCCCCTTTTTTTACCTGTCAGCTGGGACAAGCTGCAGGGGCCCTGTGACCCTACAGATGAAATAAAAGATGGATGGGTCTACTTTTGGATCTGGAGCTGGAATCCATCACGATGATGTCAAAGCACTGAAATCATTCTCATTTTCCGGTGCCTCAATCATCTTTTTTTTTGCGTGATAATGAGTGAATGTCATTTGATATTTGTCTTCTTAATCTCTTGCTCTGGCTGAATTCTGATCCCATAAACACACCAGTCTGGACTCACCGCTTTGGCTGAGCGTGGCCCCTCCTGGCGCTGGACATGCGGCTCCCACTTTCACCAATCATACATCTCAGATCCGAGAGCAGTGGAGGATGAGTCGTGACTCCTCCAGGTTCATCGGATCGCCCTGTCTGTACGTCCTGCAGGAGCAGGGAGGGCTTAAAAGCATAATGCAGCGGGTAGCCGCTCGGCTCACCGATCCACGGCTGCTGGCCGCATGTTTTCTAAAGAAATCCTCGATTTTTGTGTCGCCAAGACATCTATCTGATACGTTTCAACCCTTGTGGATAACAGAGTTCCCTTTCATACTCCATCACTTGGAAATGTTTTGATTTCACTTCTTGAGGCAAACTAAACGCTCAAGGCTTCGCGTTGCGTCTCTATTCGTGCGTAAAAGCGTCGAAGAATGACGCGCTGTGCCTTATATGAGTTGAAAGGACAAGTTTTCAGGCGCACCGATGATCTCGGGTGAGGGGAAGACTCTGGCATCTGGAGGAGCCTCTGGGATTGAGAATAATTTCACTTTCGTGGAGCACGGGCTCGGCGCGTTCTTGGTGGATTCTTTGCGCCTCGGTGTTCCTGCTTGTCCACCCCTTCAAATCCCATGGAAGACACAATGTTTTTATGCAACACGAGCGCAATAAAGGACTGGAGCTATTTCCTGTCTCAGATCTTGCCCCTGATGAACAAAACCAGCGCTTTGGTCAGCATGGATAAAGCGGAGACGGTGACCACCACCGTGGTGACATCTCTGCAGCCGGACGGCGCCCTGAGCGCGAGCAACCCGCCTCTCAACTCCAACCACACTTCGGGGATAGTCTTCCAGTACTCTTTCTCTGAGAGCGACCTGCTCTACACGGACTACAGGACCCCCGTGCGGGAGTCCATCCCGCTGCCCAAAGCGGTGCTCTACCTGGTCATGGCAGCGCTGGTGGTGGTGGCCGTGGCGTACGCCATTGTGGGACACCTGGTCAAAGATGTGGTGAATGATTTTGTAGGTATGTGACCCCCTGATATGTTCGTCTGCATGCTCATACAGTCCGAATGTGACAAGCAGAGCTTCTAAAACTGGAATCACTACAATAACCAGGGAGTAAAGTATTCAAATGTATTCATGCACACTTTCCTGCAGCTGAGTATAGGACAAATGTTCCTGTTATTCCGGATCAATTGATGCCTCTTTAAGGTAATTTCCCTTCCCTCCCTCTTTAAATTCGAAGTAATGAATGCAGATGTAATGAATGCAGCCCTGCTCTCACATCACGATGACCTTGTGAGGGAGTCCTGACAAACTACACCATCAGCAAGTGTGTGTGAAACGAAGAGGAGCTCTGCTGTTTTTCTATTTTTGAAGAGCTTCCAGTGAGTGATGCATAATTAATGAAAGTATGAAACAGAGAGTATATTTTTAGGACCGTTTTTCAGAGAAATCTCTTGGCTGGATATTCGAATACCTGAAAGCAGGATCAGGGATTTCGGAGGCAGACGCTAAACAGCTGGAGGAGAGTTTGAAGCCTCCAACTAAAAGCCTAACTCCTCTTTTTTAAAATCATTTTGTCTGAATGATTCAATATCTGCACACTGATGTTAGATCTTTAATGATTCAAAAGCAACCAAAATTCCCAATATTTGATCAGCGGTTGTGTTACTTTTGTGGAATTTGATTTGTTTTTGGAGCATCAGCAAACTGACCGGTGGTGGGGAGACTCTTTTTAAGGCAACACAGAATTACATCAGATGTAGCCATTTAATGACCAAATACAAAGATATAGATATGTTTTTTCCACGTAATCTGAAACATTAAACCTACAAATCTCGATTTATTTTAAAACAACATCCAATACATTTTAGAGTTTACTGAGTGTACCCAACATTTTGGCCTGGCTGAAGGTCCAGAAGCAGATTATGCACAACTTTTCTTCTTTTGTCTTCCACTTGTTTTCAGCTAATAGCTCTTTGGGAATCAGCTTGTTGCTGCCTTCAAATATACTATTTTCTTTCTGTCAAACTGTGTTATGTTAATTTTCACCCATCAGCTAAAGAAATGAGAACAAGTTATGTGTCTTTGTGACAGGCTGCTGATAACAAAGGGCCTAAAGATCCCATTTAAACTGCTTCTTTGCTGAGTCGTCTGTTCTGTGTAGACACACCACTGGTTCATCCCTTGAGTTAGGGGCCTTTTATCTGCCTGAATGAATCATAGCTCAGAGTTAAGTGGCTTTACAGAGAAAAACCTTGAGAACTTTTGCTAAACTACAATCCAGTCTTGCTGAGTAAGAACTCCCCATGCTGCTGTTTAGATTTGGTGTCTGTCCGTACAAACCTGATCGTTTAAGCTCATCAAATGAGGTGCAGATGATTTAAACTCCCACTTCTGGGCCGGTCATGATAAACTCCCAGAGCTTTGTTCTGTCCGTGTGTCCGTGCAGCATGTGTTTGTGCCCCGGCGGCCCTCTGACGGGCCCGCGCTGTCGCTCTCTCTGCAGGTGGGGGCCGGTCGATTGTTGCTGAAGGTGATGGCGGCGAAAGCAGTGAGCCAGGTAAAAAACAGAAGTGACGCGGGTCACAGCCGGCAGCACTTAGCTTTGCCACAGAGACATGCTGACACTCTTCATCAGAGCTGTGAGATTTAGTTTTTACCCCCACGCTGCCCTCCCACCTGCTCACGGCGTGCGCTCACACACACGCCTGCACTCCTGCCTTCTGTGAAAGTGTAAATGCGGAGGCTGTCAAATATCTGGATAACACCGAGCCTTAGCACTTCATTGGCAGGAAAACTGTCCCCCAGTTTTATCAGCAGGAGTAACACTGTATTTGTCACCCTCTCGCTCTGATCTGTGGACATTTTGGCCAAAAAGCTGGAGGTACGGCAGCTTGCTGAGAAACCTTCCAGCAGCTAGTCGGACCCGTTTAAAGAGGGAAAGGAAAACACTGAACTCCTAAACATCCAACACAGCCTGATTTCCTGCTTTAAGCCTCAAGGGCCCCTAATATTAAAGATACATGTTTCACTCCATGGTGCCACAACAGTACATCTAATAAAAATGCAATAAGGATGAAATATTTAATTTACTGTTCCTTCATCAGATGTTTTTAGCTCCTTCAAACCAAAATGTAGATGTTAAAATTTTAAAAAATATTTTTATATGATTTGGATTTTTTTGTACAAAGTAAACCCTGATTAAAAAAAAAAAAAGAAATCAAAACCAAAGTGAAACATTCTGTATTTTGGTGTTAAATCGTAAAAATGTGAACCAAACAAAAGTGAGTTTAAAGCATATTTTTGTAGCAATCAAAGTTTTTTAAAGAAAAATGTTAAAAAACTTTAAGCTAATAAATAATTTATAACCAATACATTTTCAGACCACATTGATAGACCAAACCGTAGAAGTTAAGTTTTTAATGCATCTTTTGTTTACAACAAAAAAACTGCATTAAAACATGTTTTTTTGTTTTTTTTCCCAGAACTAATTCATTTTTATGCAATGAAAACACAAGTTTTACCATCATAATTTGAAAGATGATGTCAAAGTATCAGAGCAGTTGTTTTGATCACCTCGGTCCACTTTGCGCCGTGACTTTTGGTGCAGATTTGGAGGTTCTCAGATCCCCATTCGGCCTTCTTCTTGTTCTTTACGCCCCCAGCTGTCGGCCTTAATCTCTGCTTCTGCTCTGACGGAACAATGATTGATGTGTCTCAATTTAAAAGGCAGTGCCACCCAGAAAGAGGCTGCGGTGTGGCACACATTGCACCAGAATCAATTTTATGCTGTTTTGCCTCTGATAGACTGAGAGAGTCTGGACCCATCAGAACATGTTGTCATATTAACACCATGGCCTGGTTATAGTCATGTTCTAAATACTCAGCTGTTTTATTTTTCGTTGCTTGATATGTATCTGGATGCACTTTGTCCGTAAAACCCGCCATAGACTGCTGTGCTGTTGTGTTCTTCAGAATCAGAGCATAAAGAATAATCTGAGCTTTAAGTTATGACCTCAGATGTAAAAGAAAAAAAAAAGAAATGACGCATTGACAATACTTTTTCATTATTTATCGATAAATAAATAATCTATGATCCATCGGACCATCTGATTGGTAAGAGGCTCGAAAAGCTGAAATATCATCAACTTTCCACACAGAGATGCTGCGGCAGAACCAAAAAGCTGACGCAACATTCAGTTTGCTAAACACTTTCCCCCCAAAAGTTCTAAGGAGTCAAACTTTCGTGGGAAATCTCTGTGCTCACAGTGGCTTACTGATCAAAATTCAATATGTGTCAAAGTGACGAATTCAGAAGGTGGAAAAATGAAGCAGAACACCCCCAAAATCAGTGGAATCTTGACTCTGGGGATCCTCACCTGTCCTCAGACTCCAACATGGATGTCCCACAGTTGCAGAAATAAACAGTTTATCAGCATATCTGTCAGTCTGTAGCTCAGATGATCAGTTAGAAACAGACTTTGGGCCGCAGGAGAAAGACTTTTCCGTTGGAAAAGAACATGAGCTTTTACCTGCTGCTGCTTTTTGTTCATTAAAAAAGACACATTATACAATGTCATGTTGTTCTTCTGAGGTTCTTTTCACCTCATTTTAGGACCTGTTAAGGATCAGAAAATCCATCTGTAACTGTAAAACATGTGAGTCTAAAAATGCATTTGCTGACTGTATCAAATCTTTTTGGATAAATGCTAAAATATTAAGCCCATACTATGTACACTGTTTAAAAAAGGGGCAGATTCAATATCTACTGAGCTATTTTGCCAGCTTATTTAGCCTTTATGGCTTAACACTGAACCTCTAGGCACATATCTCTTCCCAAGAAGTAAATGAACTGACAGAATAAACAGCAGATCCTTTGAGCCTTTGAACCCCTAAAGGTGCATTTAGGCTAATTCTTCCTGAGATTTATCATTCATTCATTGATTCACAGCTGTTTGAAGCTCTAATCAGCAGTTTCTTTCCACACAGATGCCTGAAAATACTATTTTTCTGAAACGAACCAGTGATACTCTTGCCTTTGACCCCCGTTTAGAGCTGGTGTTCGGCTCTCGTCGAGCTGCGCACCACAACAAGACGGAGATCAACTGCATCACCAACAACCTGACGGAAATGAGCGAGCTGGGAGAGAGGCCCCGGCTGGCTGAGATGAGCTACTTCGCCCTGAACCACACCAGCTGCCGCGGCCCCGGCCCCCTGGAGGAGATCGTGGTCACCATAGACGAGACGCTCCAGCAGCGCCCCCCCGACACTCCCTCCGGTACCTAACCGCGACTTCTGGCTGCATCCTGGGAGAAACAAAGCTGAAAATCAGCTTTTCAAAGTGGATCTATAAGTCTGTCGTGGTGAAGCTTTATCCACTGCCCTGTGGCCTGAGGGTGGGCGGTGTGACGATGGGACAGGAGAGGCTCTGGGACATCAGATGCTGATGTTTGTATTTCACCCGACTCTTTAATCATGGGATTAACGAGGAGCATGGCAGCAGGGAACCTGACGGAGAAAAGAAGCGTTTTTTTAAAAACTTTCTGTCCCCGTCGTGCTGACATTTTGTTCGTGTGAACTCTTAAGCGTCCCGTGTGAGATACAAAAAAACCTGTACAGTGAATTGTGAGTTCGGACAGCGTACAGTCCTACATTTACACCACATGTCGGTTCTTACTGTAATATAGCTGATAGGAAAGTTAACAAAACAGTCAAGTCAACAGTTTTTTTAAGTTTCCATGATGCTTTTGGGCATTTTTCATCCATCAAACCCCTCGAATGACACCTCAACCCACCTCTCTGTAATGATACTGTTTTACTACGGGGGAAAAAAAGCTAAATATAATGAAAATATTCTGTGGTTTGATGTCATTTGCTTGATGTATAAAGTGCTAAATCACCTTTAACAACTCTGGTTACACCTGAATGCAAAAAAGCAAAAAATCTAAGCAGTTGTCCTGTTTGTACTCACATTTCTGGTTAACATCATGACATGTTTAAAACTGTTTATTGTTCTGTCCGTGTTCCAGTGTGTCATGAGACATGGCTTCTGTCTCAGGCTTTGTTCACCTATTTTACCTCACAGTTAAGGGCTACGTGCTGCTGTCGACACCACTTAAAGCTACAGCTAAAGGGGCTTATTTTCCTGTGCATGCTGTGATCCTGATTTAAGCACATTCAGCAGCTCTGAGCTGTCTCCTCCACATGAAGTTACTGGACTGACGTTTCTGTCTCATGCTTACATGCATGTCAGGGGAAATTGAACACTGAAATGTAAAATCTACAGCAATGATAATCTCCTGTTAAATATAAACGACCAAAAAGAATAAATACATCACTGTTGTGCTTCAAAATCAATAAAAAAAATAAACTCATGGGCAGAACTGATCATTTTAACTGCTCACTTGTTATTTTCATACACAGGGCGCCATTTTGCTTCAGAAACAAAAAAGAAAAATGACATATCTGAATCGCCAATTTGTATGCCGCCATATTGGATCCAAAGGGAATCTATTGCCGTGATCAGATTTGAAATATGTCCTTATTTTTATGTTCATTTTGATGTGTTTCTACACCTTTAGGTCCAGGGATGGCACACTGAACAGGTTCATCACAGGCAACGCTCCCAGTTGTTGTTGCAGCTTTCCGTGTTGAGGTCTCTCCAGGTTCTCCGACTTCCCCCCAAAGCCCAAAAACATGCACGTTAGGTTAACTGGAGACTCTAAATTGTCTGTAGTGCTGACTGTGTGGTCTTTCTATGGATTGATTTTAGCCGCCTTTCATCCAATGACAGCTGGGATTGCCTCCAGCTTCCTATAACCCTATAAGGGATTCAGCCTTACTAGATGCCTGGTGTGATGGTGCTTTTTGCCTGTCCTCTGAACCCCTACCGGTTCAGAAAGATGGTTGTGGTTTGGATGGATGTTTTTTTCTGGTTCTGGTTTCTGATGCAGGTTTTTTTTCCTGGTTCTGGCACAGGATTTGGGAAACTAAATCAAACTGCTGGTTTCTTTTTTAATTGGATGCTTTCAAAACTGACTGGGTTTTGTTTGTGTTACAATCAGTTGGATTCCTATTGGATTGAACTGGACTTAATCTTTGAAGTGGATGTAGATGACATTTGTCATGATCTGGTGCTGTAAATAAAACTAAATAGAATTGAATTGAAATAAGGAAATACTCCTGCTCCATGACCTGGCAAAGTTTAACCTTGAGGATGTGAACACAGGACTGTTTTTCTCATATCCACCATTTTTTCCTACAGCCTCTGAGGTTCTGAAACACTCTGACCCACTGCTGTACTGTGAGGACACCGTGGACATACCAATAAGCAGGCCTTGCTGCTCCAATAAGGAGGCGAACAGAATGAGTAAGATATCAAGAGCCAGCCAGGATTAGTATTCAGCGAGCCCCTCCGGATGGGTTACCACCACTTTGATGACACTTTCATCTCTTTCGTCATATAAACTGTTTTTTGGTTTTCTCCATGCGTTGATATGCCGTTAATGCCTTCTGACATTTCAGACTAAGCCTCTGGACGCCATACCAGTGCCTTCGAAAAGTTCAAGGTGGAAAGTTGGTCCAGAAAAGACCAAAGGAAATGTTTCCAGAAGAAAACAGAAAAAAACTTTCAGAGTGATGCAAATATTCTTACATTTCACTCCATCTGAACCACTCCCTCTACAGGCAGGAAATGTACCTCCTTCACTCATCCCGTTTGGGTCAGTGTGACCTGTTTCTAAAGTTAAAATATCACAACTTTGGTTTTCTTCCCTAAAAATGACATAGATGGTTCCAAATTTCTTCTGTTGGATTATTTCCCTGTAATAACACGTAAATATACATGCCTCTGATCCAAGTGTACATGAAGTGTGGATGTGGAGTAAAAAAATACATAAAAAAGGGAGGTTTTAAAAGGTAACAAAAAGGAACATTTAATAGATAACAAAAACAATAAATAAGGCACATATCAACAGGACAGCCAACATAAGTTTTACATAATACAAAGCCAGGATTGCTGACAAACTTATGGCCAAACAGAGAAATGGACTAATTTGGGACATAAAAAGATATTGATCACAAGATTAAAACATCCCTCACTGGAAGAAAAAGTAGATGTATCTAATTTGACACGTTACATGTCACATCCAAATTCCCTTTACATTTTTCAGTACTTGAACTCACTGTCTGAGTCTGTGGTGTTTCTTCCTGTCCTGGAGGAAGGTCCAGCTCCTTAGCCCACTGATGAGGGAGGCTGTGGCCTGTCAGAGGCTTCACCGTTAAAAAGATGCACAGGAGCAAATGAAAGGGCAGTGGGGATCGCCATCCACCCTGCCCACCCAGCTCACCATCTGCTTGAAAACCTGCCCTTTGGCCACTTGGAGGCACCGACTGTAACTTCAGCAGCTTTGTCCCACGAGCTGTCACCTCGCCTCCCAAGTCCTGCCGCCATCTTCAGCAGAGGAAACAGAAGTGTGCCTCACTGTGCCCTGCCTTCCAGTAGAAAGGTCATGGTTAATCTTTTGATTTTATTTCAGTCTGTGGTCCATCACCTATCAGCCATCTTGTACATTTAATTTGATTACTTTAAAAAAAAAGAAAAGTGACACAAAAGTAAAAACAATCACTCTGAAAAACTCGAGAGTGATTGTTTCAGTCTGTTAACTCTAATTTCAAGTTATCTATGGGATATCTGAAGCTAAAATATACCATTTAAGGTCCTCTTAAGACTGTCATAATCCCTCCTCCTGTGCCTCTGCTCTGAGTTGGAAGTGCCTAAAAGTCCTTAAAAAGGACATCCAGCAAAAGTGATTAAAAAGACAGAAAGAATCTATGTGGGATTAGCAGTTGATCAATGTTTTAGCTAATGCATGAGCTAAGCATGTGGACCCAGGTTTGGGCTGATTGGGGAGACTGAGGTGTTTTATTTAAAAAACGACACATGGCAACCATCGGTACACTCATCTGACTTTAAAGTACGGTAGTAAAAGAGACAAAACTGCCCTCAAGTGGCACTCTAGCAAAGTGCAGGTACATACAAAATGATAAAATAATCTGAAAAAGAGCCTTAAAAGTACAGTGTGCTTGAAGACAAGCAAGAACAGTTACTTCACGAGACAATTTTTGCATTTACTTTAATTTAATTCAGTTAAATTAATCTTTTTCTGAAAATTGTGTTTTTATACTTTTTCTTCATTTTTAAGATGCAAAAGTTGCATGTATGTTTGATGCATTTTATCTGATAACTGCACTGTGCACATAACGCCTATAAATGGTTTTCTTTTAACAATTATACCCAGCAAAAGCAGGGTACAAATAAAGCTTGAGCTTTTTCTGAACTCTACATGTTTAAGATCTGTGGGGTAATTATGGTTTATACTTGTATTTAATTGTATTACTGTTAGTGAGATTAAAAAAAAAGTCCAAATAATATATCAATTTAAATAAATAGATAATAACAAGGTTTTTGTTCCCCGGGAGGCGGAGCCGCTGTTATCTCTTTGGAGCCCACACACAAGCCACAGCCACAGCCCTTTTGTTACCATAACAACGGCCCGCGGCGAACTGCGACGCCTTTCTGAACTTTTGATTGGTCTGTTTGAGCTGTCAGTCAAACCTAATCTGCATTTTTACTAGTCCTGTGTCCTGTCACTCTTCAAAACGGCCTCATGATTGGATAGCTTCTTCGGTCTCGACCCGCCCTGCTGAATGAGCTCTCGCAGCTGCCTGTGTGTCTGAAAACAGCAAAAGGTTGTAACAGAGCGCAGAGCACAAATTGAATTGCTTTCAGGGCGCCGTTTTGGAGTTTCCTTTTTTGCTTATTTGCAATTACCGAATATTTCCACAAAAGTTAAGGGAGATGTAGCGACTTTTCATCCGCTCAGCGTGGTTGGTTGACGATGGACGAACCTGTTACAAGGCAAGTGGTTCCCGTTAGCTTAACTCAGGTTAAGATGAAAATAGTGGCTGCGGGAGGTGTTTTATCTGTGCCGAGAGGTGCATTTGAAGCCCTCGCTGGTATGGGAATGCTTGTTTGTGAGCGGAGACACTTTTGAGCTGAAGTTGCTGTGATAAATCTCCACAGAGAGTTTGAGCTGTGCCTGTCAGACGGTGGGTCGGACGACGACATGCCCCTGAGTCTGCCCACGGACAGCAGCCACAGTGGGAGCATCCGAAAGGTAACCCCCCCCCCCCCCCCCCCCCCCC